AGCTCGTACCAGCGTAGCCATAACCGAGCTTCCGACCTGCGGTGCAGCATAGCGCGACTCTCCATAGTAGTATATACAGCTACAACTAAAGCTGTAACTATATATACAGAACTTAGTCTAGGTATTTATAAATAGAATATTTACAAATACTGTAACTAAACTAAACTTATCTACCTTAAATATATTTACAATTAAAATATGTACAGAGGTTTACGCCTGGCGCAAGAAAGTGTGCCGGCGCCGATCTGTTCTCCTTCGCCGGAGAGGGGCCGACTCTGGGTCGTCTTCTCGTTCCCTCTCGGCATTCTCCTTTCTTTGGAGGACCTTCTCAGAAAAGTCCTGGAAGGCCCTCCAGGCGTCCTCACTTCCTATGATTTTGTTAACCACTTCGGAGAGTGAGGACGTGTTTACTCCGGTAATGGCGGCGATGGGGCGACTACTTTAAATTTATTAGACATGGCCGATTGGATCATCGGCCATTTGTCGGGAGCCTGAATATAAATGGGGGGTGGACGTTTGTCTTGCGGCACGCGGGCCGCAGTCGGACGTTCGGATGCTGGGAAGATGGGTGTGGGAGCGGCCGAGTTAGGCCGAGGGGCGGGCCTGTTGGTATAGCCATAAGGGCCGGGATGGGAACCGACGAGGGCTGGGATGGCCCGGCTTTTGAATAGGGGGGATTGGTTAATTTATTAATTAATTAAAATTAAATCAGATTAATTTTGGACATTAATTTCATGGAAATTAAAAAAACAGTTCCTATCCGGTAAAAGACACAGCCTCATACCACCTTTGAAGTACATAACAGTAGTTTGATCTTTGATGCATAGTTTGCATCGTTCTTTGGTCCCATATGTAGGGAAATGATACCATCATATTTCACGTCTGCAGTTGGTCTTCCGGTACAGGGTGTTACATATTTTATTGATGCTCGTATCACATTTTAAAGTTGAAAATTTTCCACTGGACACCCTTTAGAAGCATTGACAAGATGGACCAATGAAAAATTGGATGAGTACTCAGAGTTTTTATTTAAAAGTAGGATGGTGACTCGCGGCGCTGACAACCTGGCTCCAGTGGTACACCGACTAGCCAAGACCGAGAAATCTACGTATGCACGATACGGGACCCGCCGTCTACAATCGCCTGTCGGACCATGTCACAACAGCTACCAGCCTGGTTTCATTTTAAAATAAACTCAAGTTCTGGCTAATCCAGAAAGCGATCTATAGTGTCGGGGATTTTTTTCTGGTACAATGATTTGCTCATTTCGTTCAGAATATCGGTATTATTTTTAACATTATGACTTATAATTTTCTATTACCAATAAAATATACATAAATTGATAGGATAATAAATCAGATAATTAATTAAACAATAGCTGTAACAAAGTTAACTTAGAAAAAGTTTATTTGCATCCGTGTACTTATACAAGCAACCGAAGAATATAAATATCGTTGATAAAGTGGATAGGTACATAAATATCTGTGTCTGAAAACACAAATGTATTAATGTGGTGGAAAAAAAGAAAAAGAATTATCTTTATCAACCTTGGCTCAAATAGTATTTGAAGTTTTGTCAATACCAGCAACAAGCGTTTCTAGTGAACCAACCTTCTTACAAGGAATACTGCGTACGCAGCATTGACATCGATGCGACCTAAATTTGAAGACACGAGGCGCAATGGCAGGAGGCGCTAACCGCTGATGCTGCATAACGTGACCCGAGGCAATGTTATGTGATTTAAACAATAAAACATTATTCTTAATTCATACTTCGAATTGGATAGTTAGATTAGTTAGCAATTAAGATTTTCGTTAGTCGATGTACCCGACGACAACATACACTACTGCATTCGGAGAGGAAAATTATAGCTCATTCCACATATCTAATCGGAGCAGAGTGTTATTGGCCACAACTATGGTCAAGATTAAATCATCTACAGGTTATTAACAACTAATACGAGCTTTGATTGACCAAAGATCTGAAAAATCATTTATAACCGAAGCCTCTGCATAATATCTGAAGCTTCAGCTAGCTTCAGTGAACGGTCTTATATGTGGAGTCGGAGAAGGTCAAAGAAAAACTAAGAGTACGACTTCTTTTGAGACTGTGTCTTTACATAACCCTGAGTTTTCTATTTAAGTCAATGCCTTTGTGTTGAAGAAATTAACTTCATTTATCCCTGCCAGAGATACATCTATACCTGATTAGCAAAATAAATCAATCTACCTGTATCGAAAACGATACAAAAATATTTTTTTGTATGTGGTGGCGAGTCGCAGCGAGGGTTATAGCTGAGGCTAACTGTTGGATGTCTCTCATCATTGTTTTTATCGAACCAATAATCAGAATAACCTCTATCTTTCTTTTTTGTCATTGCTTTACTTTCAAAATTATTCAATAATGTCAAGTAATCCTCTAATGATTCATAATATTTTTGACTACGTGTTTAAAAGTTATAGTTCTCCATTGTTACATTTGTGTGCGGAGTTTTTCGTCAAATTTCTGGAGTAAATCATCTATTTTCGTTACATACCTATCTTCGTTGAAGCTTTGTATAATTGAAATCCCTTCGTCTCCAGTGGCGTTTAATAAAATTGTTGTCTGTTTCTCGTTCGGTTATTTTCTAATTTTAATTAGCATCCATAAATATTTCTAACAGAAGTCTCATTTTTCTCGTTTCCATTTTTCGGCTGCGTTGTCAACATTTTGTATTGAGAGTGGCTTCATGTGTGCGACGAATATTTTTTCGACATTTTCTTCGAAATCTTCTTGATTTTCTTCTTGAAAACACCTCTGACACCATGCTTGGGTTTCGATCAGTCCCGTATTTATTGAAACTCTCAATACATAAAATATTATGTTCATTGTAATAGTCACAACGTACATGTTAGTTTTTATACCATTAAAGAAGACCGGTTTAACCAAAGACAAGACATGGATCAATATTGTCACAAAAATTATAAGAGATAAAACTTGAGTTTTTTTCGCATTAGTACCTGCAGAGTCGATTTTTTAATTCCCAATATCGACGAAAGAGCAAGCAGTGATAATCGGCGATTTTTAGCGGCGGAAATCATGACACATTCGATATTTTCGTCCGTGGTTACGACTGGTATATGTCTTGGTTTGAGACTATTTATTGTTAAGCCTGTAGCTCTGAACCTTGCTAACCATTACTGAATAAGGTTGATTGATGGTCCATCAAGTAATCGACGAACGCCGTAACGAACGTTTGAACTGATCTCTGCCACTGGACACCCTGTACTTAGTGGAGCATAATCTAATAGTTCTGGCTTCGTTCGTTGTCTCGTCAGCATTAAAACATATTTCTACATTGATAGTTTGTCCTTGTTCAGCAGATAATAAGGAAACCCACTTGTTTTCGTCCTTTCATAGCTATTATTTTGCTTTTAGTTTTAGTCACAACGGAAATCCCAGTTTCATCACAGTTATATATTTTGTTGGGGGTCAATTCTTACTTATCGTAAATATCTCCGGGCAACTGATAAAATTTACCTACGGCCACTTTATTGAACCCTATTGCTCTAGCTGCTGATGTGGTTCAGGTTTGCGAATTGATAAACGTGGATAACGTTTCAAAAAGCTTTTAAGCCAGCCATATTTTTAACAGTATTAAAACTGTGTGCCTTTGCAATTTTTACTGCTAGTTGATATGCTAGACGATAGGTGACATATGATAAGAGTTAAGTATACAAAAACTCTGTTGCGGCGATCTTACGGGAGTAGGATAAGGAGGATGATGATGATGATGATGATGACGAATTGATAAGCAAGACGTCTCAGTTTGGTAGTTGTTAGTCCAAAAAGTCGCTTTTCCATTTTGTTTTTCATTGAAATAATAATTTTTTTTACAATCTCTTGAGGAATTCCGTTCCACTCTAACAATACTGACTTTAGATTATCTACGCTCGTAGGGACTGGATTCCTGGCTCGAACTCGTTTAAGTTCGTCCCATAAGTGCTCGATGGGATTCATATCCGGGCTGAGCGCAGGCCAGTCCATCGTGCGCAATTCGACATGCATGCAGGAACCGCCACCACACGCCACTGTTTCAGCAAAACAGCATTAGAAAAAACGTTCCCCCGGACGCCTGTAGACTCGGGTCACTGCCATGCAAACACATTCTGCACTCATCTGTAAACAGTACCGACCGCCAATGCGTAATGCTCCAATTGAGATGTTTTCGAGCAAATTGAAGGCGCGCTTGACGGCGGCCTGCAGTGAATTTGGGGCCCGTCGC